CCATCCCCAAAGGCCCTTCTCTCAGCCACCGGCCCCTCCTGATAGTGACCCTGCCCCCGGCAAGTCCAGTCTGACGCTGCAGGCCATCCTTCGTCCCTCACCGGGCCATAGGTCCAGCCCTGCTCAATGCGAGTCAGCGCCCAAAGTTCATGGATGTTCTCTGCCAGCTTCTCCCGGATACGCTCCAGATGGGGTGGCAGGACAATCTGGGGTAGAAGACGTTTGTGAGCCCCTGAGTTCCCTCCAGCTCACACCATGACCCCTCTTCCAGAGAACATGTGCGGACTCTGGACAGACCCTCAAAGTCCTCTTCTGACCTTTCCTGCTATTCTGAGCCCTGCTCCCCATCACCTTGTCCTGACTCCAGGATTGACACCAGCCAATAAGGACTCAGCATCGTCAGAATAAAGGAATTATCTGTGAACGGGTCTGTCTCTCCCATGTCCTGGGAGCTCCATGAGGACAGAACCTGGGCTTCCTCAGTCCCTGCCATTTCCCCAGGCCTGCCCAGCCCAGAGCCAGGCCCAGAGGAGATGCTCAGGAAATGTTAGCTGAATGAACGTTTACGTGTCTTTCTTTCTCTGTACAGTGAGGATCTGAACAATACTTGACTCACAGGGACTCAGTGAAATCACATCCATAAACTATTAAATGTTATATAGTCCATTGAAATGTCCAGCACATGGTAGGTACCTAATCAATGTTTATATTGTCACTGTTCTGCAGGCAGAAGATAATAATAGTTGAACCTGGGTGGGCCGTGGGGAGGATAGGAGAGGGGTGCAGGGATGTCCAGGAGGATGAGTGGACAACCAGTGAGGCTGACTCACAGGCTGGGGGGATGGGGAGGGAGACATCAAGGAGAGCCAATCCGGGGCTCTGGCCTGGCTAGACAGTGGCAAGTTCATCCCTGAAATAATACTGCTACTACTGCTACTAGCAGGAACTATATGAGTACTTACCATTTACTCAGGAATGTGCTCAGCTCTTTGCATATATTAATTATTAATTTATCTACTATTCTCAGCAATGCCATGAGGTAGGTTCTATTGTTATCCCCTGTTCTCAGATGAAGAAACTGAGGCACAGAGAGGTGAAACCACATGCCTACGGTGACATACTGAAAATCAAACCCTTGAAGTCAGTCTCTCTCTCTTTTTTAAATCCTCCACCCTCAGACATGCTTTTTGATTTGAGAGAGAGAGACAGAGAGAGAGCGAGAGAGAGAGAGGGAGAAACCTTGGTTGGTTTCCTCTTGTATAAGCCCCAACCAGGGACTGAATCTGCAACCTTTTGGTATATGGGACAATGTTCCAACCCACTGAGCCACAGCGTGGTCAGTCTCTTGAACATGAATTAAATCTCCTGCTACAGAAACATACTTGGAGGAAAGGTGGGGGGTTCGGGTTGGAATGAGTGTTGGGAGTAGCCTAGAATAGAAGAGATGCCCAACAAATTGTAGTGGATAAGATCACAAACTTTGGAGTCACACCACCTTGGTTCAAATCAGCAGAGTGACTTGCACAGGTTACTCAACTTATCTGGGCCTCGTTTTCTTCAACTGTAAATTGGGGGCTAAAGTGAGGACTCCCTGAAACTGGGAGTCTGCCTCGAGAGAGCCCTTTGCCTCCTCTTGGCTTCAGTTTCCCCCTCTGTTAAAGAGCAAGGTTCCCAACTTCCAGCTCAGCTCCCCACCTCCCTGGCTCCCAAGGGAGCCTGCCTCCCTAGGAAACCCCTGCAGGGCAGGCACTACCTGGACAGTGTCCACGGGGCAGGGCACAAAGTCGGTGTGTGAGAGGCAGCGGCTTGGGCCCACCAAGTGGGGTCCTCGGGGTCCCTCCCGCCGATACTCCTTGATGGGTTCCAGGTGGAGTCGCTCTCTTGGGAGCACAGCCTCATGGCATGGGGCGTAGCCAGGTGGCGGGAGGAACTTGAATTCGCCATGTCGGCCACCAAGGAGGAACCGCACCCTGATGGGAGAGTGGGGTCACTGGTGGGGTAAGTGCTTAGTGGGGTAAGGGAGCAATCCTGGGATTGGTGGAAGGTTCTGGGGAGACCTGAGATCACTGGCAGTCATAGGATAAAGATTATTCAAGAGTCAAAAAGGATATTTTAAGGTCGAAAAGAATGTCTGAGGTCAATGGGAATCACTGGAAAGTCAAAGAAGGAAAGTATGAGGTCATTGGAGAGTTAACGTAAAGTCACAGGTTCTTTGGAGGAGCTGGGTCAACAGAGCATTTAGGGATATTGGAAGGTTTTGGGGAGACCAAGAAGGTCACTTGGGAGTCACTGAGAATCTGGTGTAACAATGAGATAACTATAATTGCCACTGAATGGTGACTGGAAAGTCATCCTCAGAGCTTGGGGGGGGTCATTGGGAAAAGGCTGAGTTATTGAAAGGTCTTTGGAATATCTGGGGTCACTGAAGGGTCAGTGGGAGATTATGGAGCAATTGAAAGACTATTGAGAGATGCTGGAGTCACTGAGAAGATTTTGAGAGCATGGAGTCATTAGGAAAGCCCAACATCATTGGGGGGGTTATTGGGAGGTTTCGGGGTCATTAGAAGATCATTGTCATATTCTGGAGTCATTTGGAAGTCGCTGGAGTAACACAGAGTCATTGGGACAGTCTGAGGTAATTTAAGAGTCTGAAGTTTTTAGAAGGTCATTGTGAAATTTGGGGGACACTTGGAGGTCACCAGAAGAACCTGGAGTTGGGGAGAAGTTGAGGTCATTGGGAGGACACTGAAAGGGTCGGGGTCATGTAGAGTTCACTGGGACCTTCACACAGTCAGTCCTGATGGTGGGTTGCTGGGTCCTGGCAGTGCTTGGGGAAGTTGTCTCAGGACAGTCCCAGGTCTGGGGACTAGCAAGGAGACAAGGGCAAGTCCTTACTTTACACCAGCTGAGAAGCTGACGACAGGGAAGAAGAGCCCATCGAGGTTGAAGGCCTCGAAGACGCCCTGCACGGGGCAGCCATTGATGCGGAAGGAGATGGATGGAACGCTGAGGTCCAGGCAGCAGCTGACCACGTCCTCCGCGGCCAGGAGGTGCTGTCCTGGGGAAGTCACTGGGCGTGCCACGTGTCCTGCAGCAGGGTCACCAGGGAAGGGTCAGAAGTCAGAAGTCCCATGGGACCAATGATCTCAAGAGACAAGGGGCAGGTATTAGAGGATCTTATGGAGTTTGGATCCTGGAAACCCTAAGGTCAAGGGTTCCCACAGAGGTTCTGTAGCTCTGCAACAGGCAGAGGTCAAGGCTCCCCTGAGGTTAGGATCCTGAAAGCTGTAGGGTCAGAGATGAAAGCCTTCCTGGAGTTAGGATTCTGGATCCTTCGCAGTCAGAAGTTAAAGATCAGAGGTCATAAAAATCTGGGCAGTTTTCTGGGATCTCTATGGTCACACATCCCCTGGGGTCAGAGTTCTGGAGGCTATGAAGAAATGTGTTAGGGACAGGATTCTGGAAGCTCTAGCAGCAAGGTCTTGATAAATGAGGAGTGAGGGATCAAAAGTTGGCCTCTTTTGGGGGTCAGGATCCCAAGAACCCTAAGATGTGTGGTGAGAGACTTGGAAACCCTGGGGTCAATTGTCAGGGTTGATCATTCCCTGGAAGGGTTCAGATACCTGTCCAGAGATGCAGCCCATCAAAGCCATAGGAATAGAGGTCGTCGCCAACGCCGTTACCGCCCCAGCCCTCGCCGCCCCCAGGGTAGGGGCTGTAGCCCTCAGTGAGGGCCCAGCCCACCCGCAGGTGGGTGGCCTGAGCTGTCAGGAATGGAGTCACTTCATCCACCATCACCTCAAAGTACCATTTCCCATACTGTGTGGAGCCCTCTGCTCGGCCCACAAAGATGTTGGGGCGGATGCTGCAGGAGAGACGGAACAAGAGAGGGAGATGAGGGCGAGGTGGAGAGAGCCAGGTTATTGCAGGGGTTGGGAGAGAGGGAGAGAAAGACAGAAAGATATATACACAGGAAAAAGAGAGAGGCAGAGGCATAAGGACAAAGAATAAGAAATGGAGACAAAGGGAGAAAAAGCAGAGACAGAAACAGACAGAGAAACACCAAAGACAGAGAAAGAGAGATGGGAGAGACAGGGGGAAATGTGGAGGGGAAATACAGGGACAGAAGCAGAGAGAGGAACAGAGAGGCAGAAATGGAGCAGGGAGAGAGGACAAGAGCGGGATGCTGGGTGAGCTGGGCAAGTGTAGACAGCTGAGCGGACCAGGTGTTAAGTCCAAGGTGGGAGATGGAGGAGGAGACAGCCACATGGTGTGGAGTCTCCGAGTCAGGGTGTGGTCAGGCTAGGGTCAGGTGTTAGGGGGCAGACCTGGTGACATAGTTGATGAGGTTTGTCTGCAGCAGAAGCTCACGGCCAGGGAGCAAGTTCTCGGTTATGAGATCTTGATTGGAGCGCACGGCCACGCCATTACACACACACAGGGAACACAACACATCCAGCACCTGAAGGTCAAGGTCAGAAGTGAGTATGTGAGGGCGCCAGCGCAGGTCCCAATGGGAGGCCCTGGCTGAGAAGCTACAAGTAAAGGATGATGGATGTATCATGGCAGGAGACGGGCACTTTGACCAAGAGGAGGTAGAGAAAGTAGGAGGTCCGGGATCACAGAGAAAGGTCAAGATCAAAGAGAAAGATCAGGTGAGAGGGTAGGGGCCATATGAGTTGGGATAAAGCATCAGCAATGTAAGAAATGAGGGACTGCAGTAAGAGATTAGAGGTGAGATGTCGGGGGAAGAGTGCAAGGGCCAGATCAGTGAGAGAGCATAAGGGTCAGGATGGTATTTGAGATCAGCAGGGGTTGCAAACTAGTGTCTTCAGGGGCCAGGTACATAATGCAAATCTGTGACGTGGCTAGAAATAATGCAGCATGAACTGGTAGGACCTGTGGCAAAGTGGAGAGTGTATATGCACCCCACCAAAGACTATAAAATTGGAAAATTATAGGAAATTTAAAAAAATATTTCAGAGATCTAATGAAGTACATCTATGGCCCAGAATCCATTTCAGAATCATGAGTTAGAGACCTTGTCTTGAAACAAAAGCACATGGAAGAGGAGTCCAGGTAAGAGATAAGCTGGGGGACGGGAGGGAGGGGAGTGTTGAGTTCTGGGGCCAGGGTAAGGGTTCAGGGCTAAGAGGGTGAGAAGCCAGGGGTGAGGGGCTGACCTTGTGATTCCTCCCATGCTTGTCCAGGAGGGAGATGATGGACTTGATGTGGTTCTCTTGGATGATGTTCAGGACCTCGGGACTCTCAATCAGGACACAGTACAGCACCTCTAGGATTCCTGCATGGTTAATAGAGTGAGAGGTGAGGTGGCTGTGGCCCTTCCCTTCCCCAAGTCCCTGTCTCTTCCCATGGGCTCTCCTACCAGATGAGGCTTCCAGCCGATCCAGCTTGCTGACCAACCAATCCAAGTTGGTGGAGAAGAGGGCACAGTTGGTACGATTGCCACGGATCAGAGAGGCTGAGGGCAAAGAGATGGGTTAGACCCAACAGTACTGGGGACCTGTGGAGCTCTAGGGGAAATCAGAACTAGACCTTTTACCCAGGAGTTCATAGAGCAGGTTCACAATCTCTTTCCAAGACTCGGCTGCCTCCTCCCCGGCAAATTCAGCAAAGTGAGCAGCAGTGGTGTAGACATTTAGGCGGTCAATGCAATTCAGGACCAGGGAGAGCATCCCCTAAGGTGAGGAAGACAAGGGAGTCACCACAGGAGTCCCAGTCCCAGTTCCTTGCCTTTCTTGGATTTACTAATTCACATTTCAACAACTAGTGACTGAGTTCCCAGATCCACACCAGCACCCTTAGCTCCATGTCCCCCTTCATTCCCATCACCCTCCTCCCCTTCTTAGCTCCCCACATCAGTCCTTGTCCTCTGTGCCTCCGTCCCCAACATAATACAGCCTTATTAGCAGCAGGGCTGAATTTGTGCTTCTCCTTCCCAGTTTTCTTTCCATTCTTTTCACTTCCAAGCACCCCACTCCTGGTCCCAGCTGGCCCAGTTCACTCCCTACCCGAACCATCAGAGAGATTTTGTTGTTGTTTTACATTTAATCTATTGTCCTTTTTAATTGTGAATTATAACAGACATACAGAAAATCACACAAAACATATACAGTCAATTGTTACTCCTGATATTTAGGTTCTGTCAAGCCCCGGTGAACACTGAGTTAGGGAATCCTGAACCATGACTCCCAGGGGAAACACAGGCAGTTCCTCTAAATATCTAGGCACGATAATTTCATCAATGAATCAATACACACTCGTGCTGTCTTAACACACAAACTGCTAGCCCCGGACCCCAGCTGAGGTCCCTCCCTACACTGTCCTCTCAGTCTCCTAAGACCCACCTCTGGCCCTGCCCCCACCCCCACC